GGGTGCTGGCAGTCCATGAGTTTGGACTTTGTGTTTGGCCTGCCGAAAGATTCGACGGGCTGTCGTGGCATTCGCCGACCGGTTGAGCAAGATGGCTCATTTGGCGGCGGTGCCAGAAACCATTGACGGAGTTGGAATAGCCGAACGACTAGCTGATGTCAGCCCCCTCAGCATCCGCAAAGAAGTCGATGACTTCTTGTCTACCAGACTGAGTGTCCTATGACACGTTCGCGATGCGATGGCTAAATGCCAAGACCTGCAAAAACAATATGCAGATGAAAAAGAAGAGGCAAGTGGGAAGCTTCATGGTCGGAGACCTAATTTTACTGAATTCTAAAAATCCTGCCTACACATGCAGCCTCTGCTATCTCCAGGACGAAGCTTCGTTCACGGTTCATCGGAACGTTAAAGGTTGTGGCCAAGCGGGGCCTAGCGTTTACGCTGAACCTTCAAAAACGGATGCGCACCCACCCGGTGTTTATTGTGGGCTTGCTCAAGCCGTACCGGGATCCGGTGCAAGTGAACGCGGAAGCGTTGGCGCCGTAGCGATCCCACGGGCCCGCGGCGATTCAAAAGCTGAACCAGCAACTGGTTCTGAGCACGGAGTGCAGCAACCTCTCTTAACAATGGAGCTAAGCTCTCCATCGTTACCTGTAGTTACGCATTCGCCTTCTCCACGGCTAGGAGTCGCTCCGACAGAGAGCGGTAATCCTCAAGGTGAGGCAGCCGGCACACGACGTGCTTCGAATCGTCAAGAGCATCCGCACATCGATATGCTATTTCAGCATGACGCTCAGCGGAGCTCCGATCACGAAGGACCTCGTCCTTAAGGGCTCACAGAGCATCACAAGTCACCGGACGGCGGTCGACCCGGTCATCACCGCCCGCCACCAACTCTTCTCGATGAGAACGGTGACGTCCACTATCACGTGGAACATCTAGTGAGACAACGTCGTCACCAGGGTCAAACCCAATATCTGGTGAAGTGGCGGGAATATCCCGACTCCGAAAACTCATGGGAGTTTGAGGCGCCACTTTGGCAAGATTGCCCAGTCGCCGTGGACGCTTTTGATCGAAAGATCAGGGCGTCCCGCGTCATCCGACGCCCCGCGCTTTCCGGCAATAGCCAGGGAGGTAGAAGGGCCATGAGCTGAGCTCAAGCAGTGGCCCTGAGCTCTTGCGATCGCAGACACAGAGCTCGCGGGAGCGTTAGCCGTTAGCCCATACGTTGCAGGGCGACAATCCGAAGGAAGTCGACGGCGTGCCTTGAGTTTGTCGTGTCTGACATCGCTTTCAGCTTCTGTTTCACATTGTCTTCCTTGCCTCTATCTCTTTCTCTTCTTCATCGCTTGACGTTGTGACACCAATGATCTCTCTCCGAAATTGCATTCATATTTCTCTTCGTCTCTTCGTTGGGCCCTGCTACAGGAGGTTCCTGCTGGCTTTCCATCCCGCTCAAGTGCTGCGAGAAGATCGCTTTGTCACACAGTTCAAATTTGACTGAAGTATGCTCCCTGTCTCTTCGGTGTGGATTACTCCTAGTCCCCACTAATTTTTGTCTTCGGACGCAGTATTCCTCTGATTTGGAAGTGTCGCTTAATTCATACGTTCGCCTATGATTTTTCTTAACGTTTTGATGCACATACAAGGTGCAGTACTAAAAATCGAATTTAGTTTATCTTACAGTAGCTCATTCGCGGGTATTTTTTTAGTTTGCACACCTCATCAGCACTTGCTCCAGCTCGAGATCCCGAACTGTCAATGTGTATTTCATCTTGGCTTCATTCTCTAAATCAGTTGCAGTAATGTTCTGATCAATACACTGCTTATCCCCTGCCTTGGACTTTAACATCACGTCCATAATCATCTCTTCAATAATTTCAGGCGTCGCCTCCTTTGGAACACTCTGCCCACATACTTGAAGTATCGCATGTCCGAGACGAAGCAATCCTGTTTTTTCTGCTGGCCCCGGGCTCGAGATAAATTCTCGAATGTAGATAGCTTCGTCTTTCCAATTTCCAAATAATATTCCCAAAGGAGGCTTTGGAAATATAATTTCTCTCGTCGGGATTGTTAACAAAACGTCGACACTGTCATCACACGAAACGGCGTCATCAGAATCTTTAGCATCATCATTCTTATCATGTGACTTTGGTGTTTTTTCACAAATTTTGTCGTTATTCGTAACAGAATGCCGACCACTTCCGCTGACAGAAAGACGTTGCTGCAGAAGCCGTTTTCGTATCGCGACATAATCTTCTCGACCTACAAACACAGCTCGAACAGGTTCTTTTTTGTTAACAATGCTACGCAGAGTCTCCATGATGTCCACAAAGCCGGTGTAGCCTGGTCCGGTGAGCAAGATGTTATTCACTTGTATCAGCACATCGCCCTTCTTCACAGTGCGAGATTTTTGAGCGAAGGATGGGACACGAGTAAAAGCAGATAGCACGACATAATTTCTACCAGTTGACGGCGGGTCGTCTTCGTCACACTCAAGTGAGGATTCATCCTCCATCTCAATCAATGGAGGCCAGTCACGCAGCTTGATAATGGCATCGGGACTTGAGGCAAACTGCATCGTCACAGGACGACTAATCAAGTCGCGAAGAACGGATAGAACTTCTGACAGCGTCTTAAAGCGCATATCTTCTTTGTTCACCTTAATCAACAGTTGCCCGATTCGAACTTTGCCGCTCTCTTCAGCTGGACATTTTTTACCATCTTTTAAGGAAGTGAACCCCACAACTATTACGCCACAAGTGGCCAATGGACGAGCTCGAAGCCGTAAGCCAAACGGTCCATTTTGGCGAAACGTGAAGGTTGTGAGCTCAGGTTGAGGCCTTATTTGTTGCCGCCGGTTTCTGGCAAGATCTTCTGGAAGCAAGGAAAAGCGCATCGTAAAAGGCAAAGGAAGTGTTTCCAGTAAGCTTTTCAGTTCTTCAACTGTTAACTTGCTGCAGCACAAGCCATTTATCGCCAGCACGCTACTGCCCACAGAAATGCGTTTTAGATCATTTGTTAAAAGAGTGTTGCGATTGTCGTCTTGCTCTTGCGTGTTCGTAGCCAGCGCGTCAATACGTGAAACGAAGATGTACTTATTAAGCACACCCTTTGAAAATCTAAAAGGCAAGATGTTCTTGTCAACAAAAGTGCATTCGAGCTCTTGCGGCTGACATTCAACTTCCTTTGCACCACGCCACGGGCTTGCTGTAGGTAAATCTTCCAAGCGAATGTCCAATAGCTGGAAAATTAGCGACCAATATTCATCCATTTGCTTATTTAGCGTACCTAAAAGCTTTATCATATGCTTGAGAAGCTTTGTTTCCATTGTCTTGGCCAAATATTCCCGAATTAATTCAGCAAACAACGAGGTCAATACATTGTATACCGCGCTAAACCAACTGCCTTGAACTGTGAGCTTCAGCTCTTTACGAATCTCAATCGCTATCGAATCAAGCACCAAAATTGGCTTGAATTCTCCAGTCCTTTGATTAGCCACTTTTTTTTCCGCTTTAAACCCCATCGAAATGACACCACCGTTTAGCACAGCATCTGCTACACCTCCCCCGTGAAGATAAGGAAAATAGTTTTGCTCGAAAGTCCAGTCAAAACCCTTTAAAAGTGCTGTTAGGTGTGTGGCTCGAACTTTGAATAATTCCTCGTCTACGACAGTTCCCATGCACACTTTGACCCGCTCCTTTTTAAGCCGGAAATTGGACAAATCTAATTTCGATATTGAGTACGTGATATCGTCTTCTACGCCCGAAATGGTGTCGATTTTCAATGTTGGCAAGACGGATGTAAGAAAATCCAAACAGTGATCTTTCATTCTGTCGACAAATTCCTGACGTTTCCCACGGTTCTTAGACATCGTATTACCCCACTCTGCCAGTCTATCCAGCTTGACCTCAGCAATTACTTTTGTCACATTATCACAGAACTCGTCCGGATTTTCGATTGACTGGATCAGCGCCTTAGCTTTCTTCATAAGCGTCTGCCCATGAGTAGTTTGCTGCATCTGCAACCAATACTTTTCAGATGCATGGACTAAGGTCTCGATCTTTGAAGACATTCGAGGTAATACTTCTTCAGCCTTTTGAGTCAGTGCGCTGGGGTGTAAATCTAATACCGAGTTCACACCAAAAGTTTTGCTAGCAATATGCTCGAGGTGAGAAATTGTCTCGCGGGCCTTCATCAGGTCACTTTCATGCTCTTGCAGCTTCGCCAAAGCTTCCGACTGCAGTGTTTGGCAATCCAGAGACGCTTTTAGAGCCGTAAAGCGCTGTCTTTTAGCGTCTAATTTTCCCTCTAGTATCTGTAAAACTTGCGACAAAATGATCTTATCGTCCTCCTGCGACGGCAGCATCGATGACGACTTGTTACCTTGCGATAGCAATCTCTCTCGTGCTACAGTCAATTCAACGCTAACATTTTCACGAAGCCTGGACTGAAACCCCTTGAATTCCTCGCTTGTTTTGAGCTGACTCAAGACATTAGCCGCTTTTGCAAAAAAAGAAGCAGAGTCGTTCCCTCCAAGCAAGTCGCTCTCCAGCATCAATTTAACAGAGCTTGCTACTTCTGTTAGACGCTTCAGCTCCTTTGTACTTGCATTTTTCAGTCGTTTTGTAGCATCTGCAAAAGCTGGATCGAGCAAAGCAGCCATCGCTTTATTGTACTGGTCCCCGTAAGCTGCGTTTGTCGATACAAAAGAAATAGCCTCAGCGTGCTGCTCGCAGAAGCTTTGAACTTTTCCATACATCTCGTTAGCCTTAAAACTGAGCATCTGCGCATCGTCTCGTGAGATCCGTCCTTGAAAATCTTCATATATTCTATGCGCAGATAATGGTTTTGGAATCTTAGCAAGTAACCTAAGATCAACACATGAGACGTTCTCGGCCTGGAAATAGCCAACATTGCCACTATCCAATTGCACTGCATACGAATCATTCAAGTTCTGATAAACGGTAATTGTTCCCAGCCCAAAGCTCGTCCGGACCCGTGTCTTTTCAGCTAATCGTAATTTTTCTGTCTAATTTAGACAAACATGTGTAATAAAAGAATGCAGGCACACGCAGATATGATAAACCAACCGGGAGAAGTATTGTGTGTTGGAATCCTCTAATTTCCTCCTGATCATCGTCATTATCGGACTCGCCGTTTTCAAGCTGCACCTGATACTTCTGAAGCGACACGCTGTAAAATGAGAAGCGATGCATTCAGTACTGCACCAAGTAAGACCATGATACTTAATATCTCACTTGTAATCAAGAACGACTCCTTTCCGCTGCTTCAAAGCCGCCAAGATTATCACATTTGTATGTCGTGGGATTTCTCCACACTGCAGCATGCGCAGTTGTGGAAAGAGACAGCCTTTCTGCTGGCATCAAATGGAAAGTGGGAAACAAAGTGCACATCTTGCAGCCAAAGTGTACTTACTCTTGCGTAAAGTACAACACCCCCCGCTAGCGACACCTCCACGTGCATGTTGCGATCGCTGCAGCTTATCACTTTTCCTGGTCCGTAGGGTGTCGTTACGTAATCACCAGCTAGGTAGCGCACAGCCATCGCAAAGAGCGGTGGCATCACGTCTTCGCAACTCATGGTAGTATACAATATCTTGAGTAAATAAACTAGATGATTTTTGTAGGACTTTTTAATTTGGATCTACGTATAATTTCATTATTGTGTCCATCAAAAAAGGTATATCTAGTTCTGATTTAATAAGACTTAGCTCTAAACGAGCCCGCAACGCGAACGAAAATTGCATGTCAAGTCCTAATCTGTGTCACTCGCTGCCTCACTACTCGGTTCGACGGTCGGGTCTTGGCTCTCATAAATTAATGCTTTTGAGCCTTTGACCATAGCCTTTAATAGTCGATAGCGACATTTGAAGAAAGAATGATGTATGGCAAAATGAAAAATGAATTGCTCGTAATACTGGAATTATTAAAACTTCTTGTCACACTATTGCAGTGAAAAAAAATCTATTTCCGGTACAATTAAGCTATTTCCCAGACCACAAAGCACACGATGAAACGTGTATGAATTGAGCTTCTTTTTATTAAATGCAATGAAATCTGTGAAACGTGTATGAATTGAGCTTCTATTTATGAAATGCAATGAAATCTGTGTTTCTTCGAAAAACCTTTTGGAAACAATGTTCACTGTATATAGGTTTGTAGTCATCTTCCGTCTATGGGATGCTTGATCAAAACCTGAGTTCTGAACGCGAGGTGACTCTCGATATAGCTACTATAGCTGTCAAGAAGAGAAGTAGTGATATAATGATTA